AACTTAGTCGTGAAACCCCACATGCATAGCAGGGCCAATTATAACGACTCGCCGGTATTAGCTTTCGTAGGCGTATACACGGTTGGAGGCCGAGTGCCATGTAGTGTAAGGACGATGTGGCCTTTATAGATTCCCATTCAGCCACCTTGCAGAAGCAGGAAGTGCTAGGAGGGTAGTTTAGATAGGTGTTTGGCTTAGGGTAAGGCATGGTCCCTTTAGTCGGGTAGCTGAGTAGGTTGAAACGGGCCCTTATAAGGGATTTAGTGTGATGCACGAGCCACGGAGCCCGGTGCTCTGGAAGGCTATATGAGGGGCATATGAGACAGCGACTTCCATTGCCGGCGGTTGGCCTGTAGGCGATAAGCGCTACAGGGATAGAGCACACCGTCGTTGCCCCGGCAGCAGAGCAGCAATAAATGGATACGGGAAAAATATCGTGAGTAATGCAGCGTGGTCCACCTTCGGGCGTTTAGTGGCTCTCCTGGTTTCAGCTGCAGATGCTGGGGCTGGGGGCTCCCGAGAAGCCAGTAGCGCAGAGAACAACAAAAGGGAGGGAAGGGGATTTAGAACTAAATTCAATACTTTAAGGAGTTGATATGTCACTTTTTTGGTGTATGCGGTGGGTTTAAGCACACTCAGCCTCCATATTGGGCGACCATGTAGTGATGAACGGGCTCTAGCTTGCGATGCCGCACAGCGGCCGTTCCGTTTAGAGAGGCCTTCTGTTGATTCTAGGGTCTAATTTTCTGTACGTATTTAATTTAAAATTGAAGAAGAGCACATGCTAGAGATTTTCAGCATGATTCGGGGCGCAGGGGGTCGGCTGCCAGACCTTGCCGGGGTGTCGATACACAGCAGCCCAGTAGCGATTCCTTTCGTGTGTTCGCGCCGCATGCGGCCTCTCGGGAATATCAGCGTTTCTTTCTTGAATAAATATGGCGTTCGCTCGTTGGCCACCGCAATCCCCGCTATACGAAACCACCGGTCACAGCACAGCTCAGATTGGATTCGCCGTCACATAACAGATCCTTACGTCCAGC